AAAGCCCGCAGTCGCAATGTTCCCGAGCCACTGCCTTTAAAAGCATAAAACAATCCTTTAACCAAAGATAAACGTAAAAAGAAATCCATTTACAAGAAAGAGAAAAGTAAACAAAAAACTGCAAACAACAAACTTTGCCATACCTTTTTCACATAACCGAGTTCAGTGCGAATGATATTACGCTGGAAAGCAAACACGATACGAGGACAAGCGACTCGTCCCTCTTTTATCCATTCTGCAGACTCCTTCGAGGTTTCCTCTATTATTTCGCTGATATCTTCTCTGACATTTTTTCTATAAAAGCATAGAGAGTGAAGAGAAATCTGCCGTCCTCTAAAAAAAACGTCCACCTCAATTTATTGACGCTCGCTAGCATGTCTGCAAGCGATATATCAAAACGAGTGCTGCTTTCTACAAAGATGATCATATGGGAAAAAATGCTGATGAAGTGTAGCAGCCGGACTTCCTCTTCTTCACTTTCAGCCATTCTTTCGAAGAAGTTCTGGAATATACAACTACAGGGACCTCATTGTATCAGTGATAGCTAACCTTTTCGGGATTCGGTGTTAATACTTGCCGCAAGTTTGTGAAGTCCGCATAACCATTCACTAGCAGATAGACTACATTTGTATCCACACAATAAAAAGCTTCGATCTGAATGTGATTGGGATTCGTCGGAAATGGAAACAAAATGACTTAAACATTTGAAAAAGGAGAGAATATACATGGCAAAATGAGATTACTTACAGACATCGTACTTTCTTCAGTTGTCCAACGCGGAAATACATCCATTCGAAGAAAATCATTGAGATCTTCGCCTTTACCGCGATTTACGGAGTCTTTACCTACCTAAAACAGCATTTTTAGAACAAAAACTTGAAAAATGGAGGTAAAGAGTAGAAAATGAGCAATCATCAACATACCAATGCGACAACAATGACTTTTTTCTCCAAATAAGGAGCCAGAAAGCTTTCAGCTTGCTCAAGCCATTCCTCTAGCCTCAGTGCTCTCAAGCACGGATCTCCCGATGCCTTCGTGGTCATTTACCCCTAAAAATTAGAAGTTTGTTAGAAGTTAGAAGTCTCACTTTTCCGCGGTTACAAGAAAGAAAACTTGTAACAGGAGCAAACTGGAAAGAAAAAATCAAGGAACTTGCTCGAAAATAAGCTTAAAAACAACTTCCAAGAGCGATCAAAGCAAAAATCGCAAACATTATGAAAGAAACCTACTATAGGTATCACATACAAAAATTGGACGCCCTTACTTCCGACTAAAATAGTACATGTGTTGGAGAGACAGCTAGAGAAGTAAAAGTGCGTCTGGTCTGAGAAAGTCCCACAAAGTCCGTAGTTGCGACCTTTCTCTACGCTCTATAAACCGCCTCTTGCAGTCGAATTCCTGAGCGCAAATGTCTGGAAAACGGTTCGAGACTGAAAACAGCCGAATAAAATAAAAGCAGCATTACTTTGACCGCAATTTACTAAAAGCAAAAACTCTTCGATCATGTTGTGAAAGAAGTCTGTTTGGTTGCACACTTGCGCTGTAAGTGTTATTGCGATACATTCATATGACATATCATTTGTCCCCAGCAAGGTTACCATAGGTACCACGTGTCTTACTGCCTTTCGCTCTTTTGATCATGTAAGCTTCGGGCAATTCCGTTGAAGTCTCAAGAGAAACGTGTCAAAAAGAGCGA